CGGTGCAATTTATATGCTGCAAAACGCGAAGTTAAGCGAATGTGCAACTGGCCTACCTCTTTCAAAGAGCTCATTTCTGTGCTCGCTCTAGCCAGAACTTGTACGATAATTTTTCATGTTTAAATTATTACGTCTGAATTCCGGAAGGCGGAAATTTCAAGGTTCAATCAAATCATTTTAATTTAGAAAATATTTAATTAGCACGATTGCACTTTCAAGGAGATAAAATGGAAATCTAAGTAATAAAATAAGAGATGTAACTTTAGGAACAGTCGAACGATGTTCATAATCTTTAAATGGCCATACACCGATAACTTCAGTGCGTGCACCTAAAAGTTCGTGCACCAGAAAGTTCCGCGCGCCAGAAAAGTCAGTGGACTGAAACGTCTGTGCACCGGAATTCGTCCGTGTACCGAAACGCTCGCAACAAAACGTCCTCGGACCCCTAAACATGGTATGAAACAGTACTTCTCGACGGCGGTGTATGATGATTATTCGTCTGTGCCACATAAAAAAAGTGGTCAAATACAGGTACTTTTTTGGGGCCGGCACTGATTATCTGCACTAGAAACACGCTTCTGGCTAGATTTAGCGGCCACCCTATCAGCGGATCGTGGTACTTTAAGTTGAGTTTTCAGTAAAACAAGCTTGTCAACAAGAAAGAAAACAATATTCCCTTTCTTGTTGATAATTGTTTTTTACTGATATAAATCCCACAAGCGTTGAAAATATCATATTTTGTTTTGATGATATTAGGCTTAGGTGGACGTCGGCTCATGGAAAAAATTAGCTTGTATTAATTACCTTTTATTCCACGCACCGTCGTATTCTCAAACTTTCGCGTTCTATCCCAACAGCTTCACATTTTCACGGAGTTCGAGCTTTCTGCGATGCACACGTAGTTTATTTATCTGGGAAAAAAAAAAAAAAAAACACGTTTCTCTTTCCTCGGGACCTCCCTGTACATCATTGAGTGTTTTGTGGGGAGCAAATTACCCTCTAAGAAAAAAGGTTGCCAATGGGGGGAAAATTGTTCGGTACGCCAAGAAAGAACTGATTCTCACAAAAGACTGCTATATGCGTACTATTTCGCTAGAAATGTTGTCCCCAGAAAAAATAACGTTTTCTAGGCAAAGAAAGCTAAAACGTACAAGCCAGAACAAAGTAAAAACATCACAAAAAATAATGTGCGCGCCCGTTTTTTTTTTATCTTTTTTATTTTAGAGTTGCTAAGGTATCGCTAAGTGTGCGGTTCGGAGCACACAGTCGCGGGCTCGTGTTTCAAACTGAAATCAATAAACGTTTTGCCATTATTGAATATTGTGATATTTTCCCAGTGGTGCACCGCTGCGGTGAGAGACTGTTTTTCTTTTCCCACTTTTTTATTGTTTGGCCTAAATCAAATGACACAATATTATTAGTTTGCCCTTTTCAATATTTATGGTGAGAAAACACGCGTCTGCGTAAAATGGGGGTTACAAAAAAAAAAAAAAAGAGTTAAATGTTTTTTTTTAGAGTGCATCTTTTGGGCAGAGTGTCGCAAACTGCCAGCACGATCTCATATAACACGCAAACATCTTTCCAGCGACGCCACGTGTTGGAAGGATGATCGCTTGTAATATAAATTCGATAAAACAGGATACGATAAAATGACTTTAACCGCGTATTCCGAAGGCCCGTTTACACACTTGCGTTTGCTTACGACCGAGTTCTTGTGATTTCTTCTGACGAGAGAATACACGGGCACGCTGGTGCTATTTACGAGGTCACTCTGGAACTGCATTTAATTAGACAGAAGGTTTTGCGATATTTGCGAGATCATAAGTACATATACTCCACGAGAAAAGGTCATTTATAAGATATAACATGATCAAAAGTTTTTCAAGCCAAGGAAGTAAGAATGATGCGCGACATAAATAGGAAATATACGGAAATGCCAGTGTTCCAAGGCTATGTGGCGCCAGTCACAAGTGTGCAACCCTTGACTCAAAAAGTTCTTTGTGTAAAAAAAAAAAAAAAAAAAAAAAAAAATAAGGCCTGACGCTTTTTTTTTTTTTTTTTTTTTAATTACGCTCGATTTTTTTATGTAACATGAATGCATGGATTGCGTGTCGGGTGCGGTTCCGGATTTTGCGGTTGCGGTTCGGGTGCGTATACAAAGTCTGCGGGTGTGGATCGGATTCGGGTGATCAAACAAACTATTATCCGCGCAAGGTTCTAACCATTTAGAAGCTTGGCAATCGAGACTACATTTCCTCCTCAAGAAGAAGGACATCAAATAAATGTTAAGCAGTAAAAAAAAAAAAAATATATATATATATATATATATATATATATATATATATATATATATATATATATATATATATATATATATATATATATATATACGAGAGAATACACGTGCCCGTGTATTCTCTCGTCAGAAGAAATCACAAGAACTCGGTCGTAAGCAAACGCAAGTGTGTAAACGGGCCTTCGGAATACGCGGTTAAAGTCATTTTATCGTATCCTGTTTTATCGAATTTATATTACAAGCGATCATCCTTCCAACACGTGGCGTCGCTGGAAAGATGTTTGCGTGTTATATGAGATCGTGCTGGCAGTTTGCGACACTCTGCCCAAAAGATGCACTCTAAAAAAAAACATTTAACTCTTTTTTTTTTTTTTGTAACCCCCATTTTACGCAGACGCGTGTTTTCTCACCATAAATATTGAAAAGGGCAAACTAATAATATTGTGTCATTTGATTTAGGCCAAACAATAAAAAAGTGGGAAAAGAAAAACAGTCTCTCACCGCAGCGGTGCACCACTGGGAAAATATCACAATATTCAATAATGGCAAAACGTTTATTGATTTCAGTTTGAAACACGAGCCCGCGACTGTGTGCTCCGAACCGCACACTTAGCGATACCTTAGCAACTCTAAAATAAAAAAAAAAAATAAAAAAAAACGGGCGCGCACATTATTTTTTGTGATGTTTTTACTTTGTTCTGGCTTGTACGTTTTAGCTTTCTTTGCCTAAAAAACGTTATTTTTTCTGGGGACAACACTTCTAGCGAAAAAGTACGCATATATATCAGTCTTTTGTGAGAATCAGGGCCGGCTTGCTAGAAACAGCGTCTCAGCTGAGACTGGGTGAAAGAAAGCACTGCCAAAGCCAGCGCACGAGGCCAGCGGGTCTCAAGCTGCGTCTCAAGACGCTCGCGCGCCCCAGCCTTTGCAGTGCTTTCTTTCTCCCAGTATCAGCTCAGACGCTGTTCTAGCAAGCTGGCCCTGTTCTTTCTTGGCGTACAGAACAAAATATATGTGTGTGTGTGTGTGTGTTCACAGCGTGCTGAACTTGTACCAAATTTGAAAACCTGTAATTTTTTTCTCAATCTAGAAATTATACTTCGCTTGGAAGACAATGGCACGTGCTGTATATGGCATAAATTTGAAATTTGAATCCGATGTACTCCAAAAACTCTACTCGAGAGAAAAATAATGAAAGATTGGGGCTGCAGAGGCATGTTTGGGAATGTTTACAAAATTCTTGGCGATGAATACTAAACTTTTTTTTTTTTTATATATTTTGACTGGTTATGTTATACATAGATTACTCAAAAAAGTATCGAAGGTTCGAGGTTGATCGCGAATCGAACATGACAGTCGTCAAAACTCCGACTTCCTTTCCACTTTTTTGGGGGATTTATTTGCCTGATGGTCATTTGTGAGGGCTCTGTGTTTTCGGGTAAATCCGAAAAGAATCTAAGAACAATCGCCGGTACATTTTCCGCCAATGCAGATTTCTAAAAAAGAAAAAAAAAAAAAAAAAAAAAAAACACAACAAAATTTCAGAGCCATAAACAAAAAAAAAAAAAAAAAAAAAACGAAAAAAAAATAATGGTGTTTTACAAATAAACTTTATACGAGCACAGTGTCAGTGGCCCTGAGGACATGCCGCTTCAATTTCCTTTGAAATATATAAAACAACTCGCAAAAGGGGTTTGCCCTTTGAGGTTCCTTCAAAACAGTGGGTCACGGTACCCGGACTCTATTTTGTTTTTGAAGTTTTTTTTTTTTAAATTATAACAACGCAGGACTATAAAATCTGATTTTAAAAGATTGGGATTTTGACAAAAATTACCTCTGATAAACCTGGAATTTTCAGCGAAAAACAAACTCCAAAAACACCCCCCGAATTTACGAGAAATAAACTCTGAAAACACGCGGAATCCTAGCCGCATTTGTGACAACATATAAGAAATTGAAAAGAAAATACGGATGCATCTCACTGCCTGCATTCAAATGATTTACTGATCAACCTTTGAGAAACTTAATTATTCATGTGCCACAAATTTAGGGTGACCATATTCCTCAAGGCAGACAACGGGAAATCCCAGCGGGGGGCGGGGGCTAAAGATTGAGATTGGGGGAAAATTTTAATGAAATAACTGCTTTCATTTCAAAACGTTACCATATTGCGCTAAGCCCTAAAGTCTAGGGAACAGTCACACTGCTTCGCGTCCTTCATTGGTGTGGGAGTATTTTTCCGACGACTGAAGTTTCCTAAGCAAGACTTTATCCTACAAGACTCGGTTGTAAAAGTCTGCGCAGTTATATAGACAAAAAAAAAATAATAATCATGTCTCGAAAACGGGACATGATTCTTTATTTGGACAAAAAGACGGGACGGCAAAAGCGGATCTCGAAAACGGGACTGTCCCGGCCAAAACGGGACGTCTGGTCACCCTAGCCACATTATCATTACAAATACTTCTGATCACATAAACTCGTAAATGAAAAAAAGTTTGTTATTATCCCCGGGCCATACATCGCTCCAAAATTGATTTTAATGATTTGTTCAGTCGACTGTTTAAGATTTTTCCCCCTCTTACTTCGTTTGTTAATTAGAGAAACATATTGCGATGGGTCGATTGTTTCTTCAAACCTTTTCCAAATATATTTTCCCCTCCCGGTAATTCTAAAAAAAAAAAAAAAAAAAAAAAAAATTCTTTATAGTGGGTCTTTTGTTTTGTTTGTTTGTGTTTAAAGATTTTTAGCTATAATTTATTTGTTTAGTAAGGCTCATTTGTTTTTGTTACCCATGCTCTAAACAGCTGGTTCGCTTTTTCTGACAGTCACTTCTCCCGCATTTCAGCTGGGGTACTGAATACGGACGTTTAAAAGTATTTTTTCGTTTCAAATTACTTAAAATCTTGTGTATCACGCCATGGTTCTCGTTGTCGCCATATGCGGCTGCAGATTGGGAAATGGTTAGATTTTTGGTTTGCGATTACACGGCGGAATCGCGGTATTCCGGGAGAAAGTGACGTGTTCTCTTTTACTTCTGGTAAGAGAAACGAACATGCTGCAGAGTCTTACAGCGTTCAAAACTTGAAACGATAGCTGCACGGCATGGGGAACAAAAATCTCATTATTGGTGCTGCGTAGCATGTTTGAAACGTCAACTTTGTGGTGGTTCCGATTTTTAGTATCGCCGCTTCAGTGGCGGTGGTGCTCCACTACAAAAGCACAATCCGTGTCTTTGCACAAAGCAGCCCCTAAGTGGGAGGGGAAGCTCAGTGGCCTTCGCGCAAAGCGTACGCCAAAACAGCTCGGTCGGGAAAAAAAGAAAAAAAGAAAAGAAGAGAAGACAGAGAGGGGGGCACCGTTTTGACGGGGCGTTTTTTTTGTGTGTGTTTGGAGGGGAGGGTACGCCATCTGTGGCGAGTACCGCGCCATCTGTTGCGAGTGCCGCGCCAACACGGTACTTAGTTTGCCCTTCTTCCGCAACGCGCCGCGTCGATAGCGTCGTCGCCATGGTAGGAGGAAACTGGAAACTGCACTTCCCTGGCTTCTGACGCGTGCATCTCCGCAGTATATGAGAAAAATAAAAAATGAACGCGTAGACCTTAAATATTAAAAAGTTACTAACAATATAAATTCAGTAACATTTTAAATTTAGTTGTAAAAGACATTTCTCTAAATAAATAGCTAATATCTGGAAATATCAGGAAAAAGCTTCATATGTATTTACTGCAGAATTATTCTGGCCAATGGCGCCTTTTTCGGCCCGCCAGTACCGCTGCCGTCTTTGCTGTTATCCTGCTACCGCGCTCGCTTTCTCTTTTCGCCAGTGTTATTTCCACTTTTAAAACTTAAAGATCAAAAGCGAGCGGACACGAATGAGCTGCTCTCAAGTCTGTGCAAGCAAGCAAGTGCGAGTCTCGATTTAGGACCGGTGATTGACAGCCTCCGGCTCGCCACTGTTCTCCATTTCATCGAGCACGGCTACAAGGGAATCGGAAGGTGAGTGACTTTTTAGAAGTTAGGCGTTGGGCTGTTCTCAGGGACAGTGAACAATTGTGTTTTTGAGGCCTGAGAACGTGAGGGCGGTGGAGCTGCTGTGTCGTCGGTGTGGACCTGACGCCGCGCCGTCCAGCCCGGGTACGGTGTCAGAGGGCTGCTTGGTCTCGGGTGCAAGCGAGTTCGGCTAGAACTCCAGCTATATTTGGGGCCGTGTGTGTTTTTCCCCTTATATCTGTTCCTCAGTTTCAGGCTTTTTTAATCATAAAGTAGACCAAGGAATTTGCTCTCCAAAGTTCAATCGTATTATTTTTTTTTTTGCGTGTTTTGTTTACACATGAATGGCTTTGATCGAAGCTACTAATGTTTCACTTCGTGTGCAAACGAAGCCGAAGCTACTAGCACAAGCATGTACCCCTGAACCTTGGCTTGCACTGCACGCTCGCGCGTGCTTGGCGGGGGCGCTGAAAGCCTCGCGTTTAGAATGAAGTGGATCATGGTGGGTCAATGTGTGCTTTCATGGGGCATAGTTTGGTGCTGGACTCGATTCTGCAGAAGCAAAATGCGAAATAGCGCCTATACCGTATTTGCATTCCTACAGTGGATTTCAAGCAGGTGCACAGTGCACAGTGTTTAGCACAGTAAAATGAAAGACTCAATTAATCAGATATATGTTGTTGTTAATACCATACATAAACTCTGATGTTGATTATATACTATCTGCACAAACATGAAGGCACACCATCATGTCTGCACTTTTCTTTGGCAGTTTCGTGATTAACATCGCTATATATATCCTACCTCTGAAAAATGCATGCACGTCTGCCCTCTTGCAGAGCACATTGTAGTCCAATCACTACAAAGTGCACCCAGTTGATTACGGGGCTTACAGTATGATGCAATTTAAGCATGTAATTTCAACATGGATATGTTCAATTTCCTTGCACGAATCACTTCCTAGGTGCCTCGTCGTACACTAGATGCACTCCATAGATGGCAGGAAATGGCCTACTGTGGATTTGTGGGAAAGAAGCTGTGAAAGTACATTTAATGCTCTGCTTTTGTATTTGAGTGGCACTCCACTTTTGAGAACAAATTTATTTTTGACTTTTTATTAAACCCATTTTTTTTTTTGTATTTTCAGGAAAGGCCAGTGAGCAGACATTAACGGACCTAATGGACCATAAAAATGCCCCAGGTAATTTCTACTATGGAATGTGCTATCCTTTTTACTACCAGTCAACTCGTCTACAAGGCAAGTTTGAACATTGTTATATGTGCCTATTTGTTTCCAGTGTTGTGAAGCAACATTTTTTGGTAATTGGCCACAAAAATAAAAGTTCAAAGGCTTGTATTTTGTGCCTGTTTTTTTAAGTATGGAACCAGTGTTGTATAGGCATCTTTAATATTCACCTCAAGGTCAAACTGTGTGGCAAATATGGTAAAATTTCCTTAATGAAAGTTGTCTGCACTCATCCCTTCAAATGGTTTTGCTAGGGTCACGAGATGTAGGAATGAGCTCACCACGGCAAAGACTACACTCTTTCACAACTAAAAAAAGTGCAAAAATGAGACAAAGGACGAGTGAGAGGAATGTTCACGACAGGCGCTGACTTACAACTGAATTTTTATTGGGAAGAAACATGAAACCCTCGAACCACGGAACACTGCCAATCTTATCAGTGTGATTACAATATTGCTTCATAAGGACACCGTTACAAAGCAATATTGTAAAGACATTGATAAGATTAGTGGTGTTTCATGTTTTGGTGGTTCGAGGGTTTCATGTTTTTTCCTAATAAAAATGCAGTTGCAAGTCAGCGCTTGTCGCTTACACTCCTCTCACTCATCCTTGGTCCAATTTTTGCACTTTTTTCGGTTGTAATGCATCACCAACTCGCTCAAGTTACCACTCTTAAGCCGCATTCCCACCGGCGATGTAAGCAGTCGCGCGATGCAACTAGATCGCATTGCAAAAAAATTAGATGGTCACACCGGCATGCGCGATGAACGAGCCCAACACCTTCGTTGGCGAGTCGTTTCTCGAAAACTCTCGCTCTGAACGCCGTTGATTGGCTCAGCCGCTCTGCGACTAGATTGCATCGCAAAAAAGTCGGGTCGAGTAGCGACTGCTCAAATCGCATCGCTTTTTGCCCGCGATAGTTGCTTTTGCGATGAAAGTTATCGCACGACTAGATCGCATCGCCGGTGGGAGCGCACCTTTGTGGTACACTACGCTTCACCATAACTTGGCTAAGGGTGAAAGCTGTGGCCCCCGTGAGCCAATTAAAGTGACAGAGCAAAGTACATGACAGCACTCCACGGGAGGAATGCACGACGGCTACATTGTGATGCAACTCGCTCTGTCTTGCGCAGGGGGGGGAAGGTGCCGCCGCTTCCAATGCACCCTCCTCAGAATTTACGGCGCTCCGTGGGGGCCGCCATGTTAAAACTTGATACCAGTGTTGCTGCATCTGTAGGTCATCTTTAAGTTAGAGCTGACGGAGAAAGTCTGGCCACGGCGCAACGCCGATGTACGCTGGAAGCTAGAGCCGGTTTGCTTTCGTTGTTTTTGTTTGGTCGGAGAAAATCTGGCAACAACGCACGTTCAACATGGCGCCGGTATTGCTTCGGCAGCTTCGGCAGCTTCGGTTTGACCACGTTTGACGCGGTTTTCGAGCACATGAAGCGAAGACGTGACCGGAGAAGTGCCCCTTGATGGTCCCGGAAGACGGAAAGTATCATTCGTAATCGTCGTGTGTGCTTTGAAAGCGAAAGGTGTCACAGGGTCCACGAGTGCGCAGCCACAAGCCAAGGTTCACGACAGCGGACCGTTGACTTCAGCGATCTCGTTCTGTTTGGTGCATAGAGACAGGTTTGGTGCAACACGGCGATGCGGCAAAGAGTTGAAACGTTCGTGGTGCGTGGTGCAGTGCTTGGAGGTAGAAGCCCATACTAACACGAAGCGCAAATTGGTTATTGTGGGGTTGAAATTCAGCGGTTTCAGTCCCGTCGTCGTCAGCTGATCCGGTCCAGGTGGTCCGGGAGGACGCAGTGAGCGCTTCTAAAAGTAAATCTTCCTTCCTTCCGTTTCAAAATGTGAAAGATTCTCGACGCATACCGTGAGTCAAAAGCTGCGGGCGTTTTCAACGAAATTACGTCGTTTTAATTGAACAAAGGACTCCGGATTGTTGTCCTAGACCTGCCGTTTTTATGCTTCGTGTTGTTGGCGTTTGCACAGCGACGCACACCGCCCGAGTAGATGATTCGGTCCTGCAAACGACCGGTCATACAGAATTTCAGGGAAACTTAAGTCACCACCGATATTTTCTTGTAAATCTCGTGTGAGTTCGTTGCGCTCGTCATGTGGTGTGAATAAATTAGGGCAACGTTTCCTACCTGCCTGTGGATGCACGAACTGAGACCATTTTTTACGTAGTGAACATAGCGTTTTTTCTTTATTTTGGAAAGAGGTGTTGGGGAATTTATTATGGTACAATCACTTGAGAGTTCAGAAATTAGAGAGAGTGAGTCATGCTTTTGTCTCTTTTCTCTCTGGCATTGCCCCTAGTTTCAAGTTGCAGTTTCAGTAGACATGCCTACTAGCAGGTACAAACTGCTCTAAAGCAGGTAAAAGACTGCTAAGTCGGGGAGGTGCGGACTCCGTGTTTCGCGCTTTTCGCAAGATGACTGGGTAAGTGCTTTTGCGAGGTATGCGGTATACACAAACGATTTTGTTACGCCCGTCGGTTGCGTCTCTCCAGCAAAACGAATAAGATGATCTACAAAGGCGCAATCACAAGCCAATATTTACGATAACAGTGCATATGATTCGGTGGTCCATGTAGTTGTATTTGATCCTGCTTTCTGCAACGCCGTGTCATGGTGAAGAGCTGGAGCGTTCACGGATTGTGTTGGGCTACCGGTTGACCCAGGGGCAACTCAAGAACTCCGTTTTTTTTTTTTGTTTTTTTTTGGTTGGGGGGGGGGAGGGAAAATCGAAAGCAAGATAAACAGGACTCGGGTTGCGCCTTTTGTTTTAACCGCCGCAGAACCACACTGCGCCGACAGCCCCTAGATGTGCGCCCCTGCTCCGACTTTTGGTTCTAAGCCGTGCTTTGAAACCGCCGCCGCGGACTTCAGTCTCGGTTGAAGCGACGGAGTGGTTCTCCAAGTTCAGAGTACAAGTGCGCCTGCTAGGGTGCGGCCTACCTTATTTCGAACCCTCGTCCTTGAGTACCGAGCCTCCTACCACCTGGCACCACCTATTTCACCTATTTCGGGGGATCCACCCATGTCAAATCGCCCTCCGTCGCCCCCCTCTTGGGTCCGCCGTTGGGTTGACAGAAGCCCGCGTCGCCCGCATCGGCACTGAGTGCACTCGGGCTGTTGTAGTGGCTCTAGGCTGTTGACGCTCAAGCCTTCCATCCGCGGCTTGCCGCCAGCTGATCCGGCTGCTCGACGGTGAGGAAGCGGCGAAAGTGACCTCTGAAGTAAATGTAAATCCTTGTTCATACAGTTATCCGGTGTCAAAGTGTGGAAGGTGTCCAACGTGTATTGAGGGCGGGAACTACGAGCGTTTTGCCTTGCTTTCGTAACCGAAACCAGAACAGCGAGATAACTGCCTTGCGTACTCCAAAATGATGAAAGCAATAAGTCGTCAAAAAACCGTTTCTAGGGTTTCAAACCAAGTAAACAAGACAAATATAATTCGACTTCGTTGTCTGTATGCAGGAGGACTTATGTAACACAACAATACATTCTTGTTCCAAAACGAAAAAGAAAGTAAAACTCAGTCCGCCGTATATGGCAGCAACTTCTCCGCTGCAAAACCTATGCTGGCAACGTAAGCGGTTTTAATATGGCAGCCTCCGCTTTGCGCCGCGTTCCCTTTCCCTCCTTCCCCCCCCTGGTCTTGCGGGGCTGCAGCGTTCGTTCTTTGCCATGTTATGGTAAAACAGTTAGTACCTCGCACTATGCTATTCGGCTACTAAAAGGTTTTAAAAGTGTCGTGAAATTTGTCTGTACTCATACTTTCTTCAACTTGATTTGTTAGGTCCATGTGGTCTAGCAAGGGCTGCCCACCACACCAGGGAGTGGCACCTTAGACCATGCCATTCAGCTACAGGTACGTTCCGATTCTGGTGTCAAAGTTGCGTGCTCTCATCTCTTCTTCATTTTGGTGCAGAAAAGACCTTGCCATGCCAGGGACGAACACCTTACACTACACTACTCAGCAACAGGTAACCTCCAAGTGTTGCAAAATTGACCTTCACTCATACCGATACCGTTTTCTTGTTTGTTTTCTTAGGGCCATACGGTGCAGAGAGGACCTGCCCATGCCGGGGATTGTCACCTTACAGTATGTTACACAATTACAGGTACTTTCTGGATGTACTATGAAATTTCCTGCACTGATACCTTCTTTGGTTCTTTGTTAGGGCCATGAAAAGACAGCTGCAAGATGACACAGGGCAAGATGGTTTCCCAATGCGTAAAGATTGAACACCAACCTCCGCAATGAATCAGAAGAGTAGGGCCACTAGAAGCACCTGTATGGATAGGACACGAGTGTAGTAATAAAACCATATTGCCAATATAAATTGGCTCAGGGTCGTCCTTTGACTGGTTACAACATATCCAGGCAACAGTAGAACGGATTTAGGACGCCATCTGAATATCCAAAACTGGTCTGCAGAACAAAATTGCACGTACGTCGGACATCCGCAATGGGATCCTCATTGCGGATGTCCGACGGACGTGCAATTTTGTTCGTTTGGGCGCTCTGTCGGATGTCCTGGGGATGTTCGTCGGACGTACACGGATGTTCGGTGGATCTGAATTGGATCTCTATCGGATGTTCCCGGGATATCCGAAATTGGCTTGCAGAGGGATCCCTTTTTGGATGTCCAATGGATGTGCAATTTTGTTCGCTTTGGCGCTCTGTCGGATGTCCTGGGGATGTTCGTCGGACGTATACGGATGTCCCACGGATGTTCGATATATCTGAATCGGATCTCTATCGGATGTTCACGGGATATCCGAAGAAATTCTGCCCTGTAGAAATTGGCTCGGGTTAGTGCTTTGACTGGTTTACAACATGTCTGGGCTAAAGTAGAATGAATTCAGGCATGCCATCCGAATATCCGAAATTGGCCTGCAGAAGGATCCCATTTCGGATGTCCGACGGACATGCAAATTTGTTACCTTTGGCACTCTGACGGATGTCCTGGGGACGTCCGTCGGACAGCTACGGATCTCCTGGGGACGTCCGAATATCTTGAGCGGATATCTATTGGATGTCCAATGGACGTCCAGTGGTTTGTTGGGATCACATCAACAGAAAATGAAGTATAGCATATATTCCACAATTGTCGATGAATTTGATGTCATGAAGATTGCCTCCTTGATGGTTTCTGTGTGTGTTTGTGTACAACTGGTTGTGTTTCCAAATTTCGTTGCCCCTCGAATCTTCCATTTTATGTATGTGACGAGTCTTGAGTTATGGCTCAGCACCTGTTTCACTTGTTTTTTCCTCACAGTCAACATGCCCAATTTATTCCTTTTACTCATAACTAACAGAGAGAGAAAACAGTCGACGTTGGATAAATTGTCAGCACCATTGAAGGACAACTCTGGTTCATTTTCAATATTAAGAAAGCAATGGAATTATCTTTAGCATCGTCTAAAAAGACCCCACGCCAATTACTTCTGCCTAATTCCACCTAAAAGTTGATGAAACTGACAAGCAAATTGAAGTTAAAGCAAGTAGACAGGCGAGCTGATTAAGGATAGACGTGGTAACCCTAGAACAGGGGACAAAAAAGGACGCAGTTTTGTGTCCGTCCATACTTTTTTTGTCCCCTTGCTCCAGGGTTACCATGTCTGACAAGCAAAGTTTGAGGTGTGCGAAATTACCAGAATCTGGTAATCCTATACTCTGTTCACCCTTAAGCTGAGACTAGAAGTTCCATCTTTAGCCCAAGCTCACTGGCTATTGCAGTGCCTTGGTGGCATGTGCCTGTGCGTTCACACTTTTGTTAGCAAAGGCAGAAAGCTTGCACTGAAGGTGCAGCTTCTAGTCTCAGCTAAAGGGTGAACGGAGAATAGCAGGCGAGGTGCAGCGTAGCCATCAATGCAGTCACCACCACCGTTTCTGCGCAACGCACCCTGCGCTGCATCCGTCATGCTCAGGGAGATTTGTTTGCTTGTTTAATACTGTGTCTAGCAAAATCTACAGGCGGTGCTAGCAGCACGCTCATCGTTGGCCATGTGATTTGCAGAATGCGCATGCGCTGGAATGTCCTGGTGTGCTCTTGTGCAAGCATGCATCATCGCCGGCAGCGTCCGTCACGTGTGAGAGAGCCACTTTTCGACCTTGAGCATGGCATACTTCTACAGACCCGTTGCGACATATTTACACATAGTTTGCTGAACTCCACTTCCTACTAATATTTTCAAAACGAGCCCTTGGGAAAACATGCCTTTATCTGTGCTAAAACACAAGCTGCTATTGCGGCAGTGCAGGCGTCTTCGAGTGTAGCAAACTGCCAATTGTAACAGATGACACTTCTGCCCATTTGTACCACATGGTTAGAGTTTGTAGGTGACGACACAAGAGCAATGTTGCTCGCAGGTAGGGTTCCGGATTACATTTGTGTTAAGCTTTAAACGAAGACTGTGCAAAAAATACGGTATTACACTTTTTTAGAAATAATTTGTGTAGAACCGTCTCTTATTACCTTGGGATCTCTAATCAACCATGAACTCAAATTCCTTGGAATTGACCGGAGTTGCCGTAGCACAGCTAAGCAATCCAGCTCACTCTAAGCTATCTGGCCACTATCGTATAGTAGGTTTGTGCGGAGATTTAAATAGTAGCTACGAATAGTGCGTTATCTGATATTCGGTTAGAGACGATCTGCAACATTCATGCTTTTTGACGTGTTAGCAAAGTCACAATTGCGCCAAGTTGGTGATCTCCGATGAGTGTGCTTCTTACCGCGCACCGGTGCACTGCAGGAAAGTGATACCTGCAAAGCAGGCACAGTGTTTTTGCGATTTTTGCTTCACGCTTCACTGTAGTGCAATAGTGCAGCCGTGTGCTTAGGGGAAAAGCACACTTTTAGGGCGAGATGGTGAATCTGTGCCTGGTGAATATAGAAAAAGTCAGAGGACACCTAAGACTTCTTATGAGTTGTGAATCTGCCAAAGGAGTTGAGGAAGGAAAGAAGAGAAATGAGAAGAGTGAAAAAAAGAAGTCAAGGGTGAAAGAAGGTAGGGGATAGTAGAAGATGTGGTAACTAGACTAAATCATCCTGGCCAGGCCTTACCAGGACTCCCGCCTATGAGACGCGGGGGGCCCCGAAGTGGTGTATTGTCTCGCCCGGGGGGCCCCGAAGGGTCCAAACCTACCCCGGGCTTGGCTCAACCACCAGGATGCCCTTTTCCCCAGACACGAGAAAGCCACGCACAGCCAGACATGGGCGAGCGAACCCACATGGCTCGGGGTCTGTGGAGACGCCACTTTCCAAACACCTGCTTTCACAGGTGCCCCCTGCGGGGTACTCTATTTAAAACCGGTTATGGTAGGCCTGGTAACAATTTCACATCTCAGCACAACATGATGCTGTGCTGAGCCAACTTCCTGGTTATTTTTTATGAGGTATGGCTACTTATTGCGAGATAATATCCTATGTGTTGCACCATTAGTAGATCTGTGCTTCGAACAAGTTTCTCCTGCCATAACCTAGCATATCTTCTCAAGCCATTCAACCAATAACTGGAATGCATTAAGGCCCTGTCACACTGAAGAAACATGACGGCAAGAGCAATACAACACATTGTCCAACAGTCGGGCAACTTTTTGCTCGCTCCCAGTCTTGTCCGACAAACCTGTCACATCACTGCAACAGCTGCACAACATGGACGCCAACTAATATGTTGCCTCGGTATGACAGCTTTCGGCAACAAAAACAGCACCAACTTGCGTTGGACAACATGTGTTGCCCTGATTGCTGGCTGAGCGAATTTCGGGCTTCAATGGCAGAGCTAGATCCCTATCAATAATGTCTTACTTAAATAAAGGATTGGAAAACGTTATCTAACAATACTTAAGGCTGGTCTGCAGCTAAAATAATTTGATGAATGTTTTTACTGCGTAATTACAGGAAGCTACTGTCAAAGTGGTCACAGCTACAGTCGTGAACATTCAGATTGCAATTAGGATTTACATGCCTACTCACCCACTGATAATGTACAATAAAAATAATCCAGGAAAGCAAAGATTAAAAAATCTAAGCATTAGAACGACCACTGTGATCATGATTGTTGATGCTTGGAACTTGGAAATGAGCTGCTACCAGACACCTGATTTGTTTCCAAAATACCCAGGACGTTTTGGGAAATGAAGCGATCACATAGCAGGCGGTAGGCAAAGACTGTTGAAAAATATTTATTTCACCGATTGTTATGACGACCGATCATGTCGGTGTTGCAGTCTTTAAGCACTCTCAGTTCAGCTCAACACCATGCTACAAAAGACGCCTTGGGGTACTGCCAGTGCTAATTCAATTTTAAAGTACAAATAGGAACTGCACGAAAGAAAGAAACTGACAGAAACAATTCATACCATGGCGTAAATTCTGAACATATATCAGCGGTCTCACTTTCCTCGGTTAGGCCTATCTGCTTTGTCAGCGAATGAAGAAGATTTTGATAAAATAAAAGGTAGAAAACACTCCCCATGTCTAGTTTTCTAATCACAATTACTGGTCGATGTCGTCCCGTGGTAATTACCGGTTGTTCGAACGCACTAGCACTTTGTAGAGTGACATTTCCAGTGACGCCGCGACGCACATGTACGAAGGTAAACAATCAAGATGGCACAGTGTTCCCCGTGTTGTCCCCGCCGTCAGCACGGTGTGACAGGGTGGTCGGACAAATCGGGCAACATGGCTGCCGGGCGGCAGAACATCTTGCCCGACTGTTGTTGCCGCGATGTGACAGGGCCGCCGGCAACACAATTTTTTCATGCTGCTGGATAGAGTTGTCCAACTGTTGCCTCAGTGTGACAGGGCCTTTACCTCGCTGAAGTTGCAGGATAAGAAAAGCTAAACAAGCTCCTCCCGCAAAGCCCACAACTCTCCCCACTTTAGCAGAGCGAATGCTGGAGAGGAAGCGAGATGACTCGGATCGATCCTCTCTCGCTTTTTTTCTATCGCTCACTCTGCTAAAGTGGAAAGAGTGGGGCGCACTTGCAGGGACCTCTCCTAACCTGCGTAACGGAGCATAGTTATTGTCTTTATGGTAGGGGGACTCCGAAATGACCCATCTTCCTCAAAATAAATCGGCACACCAAAAGAGATTTGCCGGATGGGTACAAAAATGCATGCTGAAAAGTCTGCTTTCTATTCATTCATAACGCTACCTGCGACCAGGAGACTAACACGCCAGTCGTAGTTCAGGATCAGGAAAGAGGCGAGCACAGGGGCAAGGCTCAGGGAGATGTTGGACGAGGCAGCCAGGATACCGTATGACGTTCCGAAGGAAGAAGGAGGGAACCACTGCGGGGAACAGATTAACTGTGAGCAGGCTTATGCATGCACACATTAGCAGTCCATATAGAGTGGAACACATGGATCCGAGGGCCTTAGTGAGAACACGGACGTTAGGTGGAAGATTCCTAATGTTTATACTGTACAAGCACTGCTGAAGAAGCACGCAAACAAGAAACATCATAATCGTGTTTTTCTTCCAGACCTTTCAAATGTTACCCTATAAACCATTAGACAGTTTCCCTAATTGCGCGCAGTTGTTTTGCACCCTTCGTGTTGATATGCACATCAACATTAAATGTGGTCCTTATGTACCAAGTAAGAACACTTTTTTTCAATGTTTGCCTTTGTCTGGGAGCACTTTTTATTTATGTCCAGAGGCTATTAATTTCTTCAAAATACATTGAACAAACATATACCGTAATATCCCGAGTCATCGCCCATCCCCGAGCCATCGCCCACCCCATTTTTTGGGCCAATATCGATTTCCAAAAAAACACCGAGTCATCGCCCACCCCTTCAAATACCCCAGCGCGGACTCAGCGATCCGTGAACACTCATGCTACCCGAATGACGCGGGACGCGGCCGCGGACCTTACAGTTGGAGGACGTCCGTGACAAAGTAAAACGAAGGAGGGAAAGACACTTCTTTTTGTTTACGCATTTCCTCCGCGAGCGACCCCGAAGTGGTTGTGTATCCGTGCGAAAAGAAAACGATGGAGATAACAAAATAAGAGTTTGTTAATGTAACCGCGGAGTGTTAGGTCAGTCTGTCTCCGCCGAAGTAAGGTCACCGCGAACCCGCTCCTTCTTCCCGCCCGTCGCGACCGCGGTTGTGCAATATTTTAGGCAAAGCCAACGCGTAAATAAAGCTTTGCTGGAACGTAGACGTTTGCAGAGCGTCCCAACCGTGCATTGATAGCCCGCCGTGCACCGACGCACGTATGTACGCACCAAACAAGAAAGTTGCGCAAGAGCTTGTAATTGACAAGGCGCCCGACTTGGCCCGACGCCAAAGTATTTGCCAACACGACCGCCGGCTTTCCCGCTTTCCCAGCATTGCTCTTGGTCGCTTCTTTGGTCTGCTCGCTCGCTCGCTCGCTCGCTCGCTCGTTGCGCCTGGTTGGTTTTTCCATTTTCTTGTAGACTTTTCTTTCTTTTTTTTTTTTTACTAACTAGGAGAACATAGTGGTGACATTCTTTCGCGGAACAAACGTTCGCGCTATATGCAGATCGGCGGTGTTTCTAGCGCGTATGCAAGCAACGGACTTCGCTATAGTAAAATATTCTTTATTGAGCATTTTTTTCTATAAAACAATGAAACTAAATCGAGTTTTGAGTTTGATGTATCTCTTGTGCATCAGCGCTAGATACGCAGAGAAAAATAGGCGGTTTTTTCCGCTTTTTTTCAATTGTTTGTGCTCACCCACCGAGACATGGCCCACCCCACTTTTTTATGAATTTCAGGCGGTAGGGGGGTGGGCGATGACTCGGGATATTACGGTAAACCTTTTTCGTTTATTCTCGTCTCCAGTCACCTGGTAGACATATTCGGTATGTGCGACAAAAAATAATGAAACATTTTAACCTGCAAATAGTACAAGAATAGAGGTGAGACAAAATGAGAATGGGTGACAGTTACGCTTATATCCTGGATGTCTTCTATTGATGTGGCAACAGCAAAGCTATGTTTTCGCCCATACCGGAAGTGACGACATTCAAGATGGCAATGCCTTTGTGGAAAAGGTGCATGTCCCCAAGGGGAGCCAAGGGATGTCAAACTAATCACTGGCGGCGGGGCTGCTTGATTCACGGTTGCCAAGCGGTGACCGTCGAACTCACTGTGATGCACGCTTGTGGCCTAGTAGGGGTCGCACAGGGGTCGAGCAGAGGAGGAAGGGCTCTGCCCCGCTGGTTTTCCCCAGGCTGTTCCATTGGCCAGTCCTGAATTTTTTTTTCCCTTCCCAAATTGGCTTCACTCTGAAATTCACACTTATCTCATGATCCAATTCATTTTGTTCGGATTGGTTTTAAGTCTGCAGTGCCTTGCGGCGGGAGCGGACAGAGGCACATTATTTTTATTTCTTCATCTCTGTACTGTTGCGAAAGGCCCCAGTAAATGACCTTCCCTATCTATTCCGACCGGCACCGGTGAAACGTCGCCACGGGGCTTTGGTCAGCTGTGCCCGGAAACGAAGCGAGACGTGACTTGGGGGCACTGTGCACCTTGGTGCAAGGGGATCATCGAGTTGACCAACGCGTCCTTACTTCCGGCCCCTCCCCTTGCTGCTTCTGTCTCGCCTAAACGTACAGCGCCATCGACAGTCTTGGGACGCCCTGAACAAAGGAGGGGGCTTTGCGCCCTATTCTCAGTTTAAAGCGCTGATGGGATTATCGTCTTAGCGTGCGAAAACCAAGAATCTGCACCTGGGGGTAATTATCTTTTTGCCCCATCCGGACTTCGACGGCACCGGTGACCGACCAAGGGGCGGGAAGGGGCGTTTTTGAATGTAACGAACACTGACCACGCCGTTTTGGTCAAGGCAGGGACGATAGGAATTCCCTACTAGGGATGTGGGGAAAAGTAACGTCATAAAAGCAGCAGCAGGCGGCTGCTACTGTGTGTTTTCAACATTGTTCTTCCGTTCATGTTGTAAACTTGTCCATGGGTATATATATAGAGTTAGTATTAGAGACACACCTCCTGCTCCCTGGTCCTTCACGATTCCGGGTTCCTGATGAGTTCCTGCCCTGGCTCGGCTCCCTGCCACACACCAAAGTTCTTGGACAACCGCTCGGTCCGAACAGGCCTCAAATCAATTATGTATATGCCGCAGGGTCTGTGGGTTCAGTATTAGCCCAATCGCCAACTTGCCGGTCACAAGTTCCGTTGTTAATCTCAGGTGTGATCAAAGGCGGATTAATGGGTCAGGCTTGGGGGGGGGGGGGGGGGGAGCGATAGGCATTCGGCTGGCAGCAGGGAGGGGGGGAGTCTGCTGAGATATGACATTATGGCCGAAACATCACCCACATCTATCTTGTTGGCCCAATATTTGCTTTCACCAAAAACAGACCTTTTGGCTGGTGTATATCAATTGTTTCATTAAAAGAAAGTTGACCTTGGGGGGCTTAGGGGGGGTGGTCGCCCTCCCCCCTAAATCTGCCCCTGGTTGTGATCCTATTTGGAGTACCTGCTGGAGCAGCTTGACAAGGGCTGGCCAGCCACAGCCCTGGGCGATGCCGTTAAGGCACCAGAGGATGGACACCAGGTAACCCGCCAGGGAAGACACTGAAGTTGCGCTGAAGCCCAAGGTGACCAGCCCGCTCAACACCAGTCCCACGCCAAACAGCAACCGAGTGCTAAGTCGGTCCGCAAGCACCCCGCACGTGAACTTGCTGCCGGCATAGGCCAGGTTCTGGGCACTCATCATCGTACCTGCATACTATTTGGCATTAGACGTCCATACATCCCTGCACATATTTCGCGCCCTCTGTTTGCCACGAAGCCGCGGGCAACTCTTACAAGAATTACCTATATAAATTGCAAGTGTGACATCAACTGTGAAGCCAGCAACAGACACTACTCAAGAGTGTGCGCTTCTAGTGGCTGCTGTGCTAATTATCCGAGGCTGCCATATTTCTGCCGCTCACTCTGAGGATCTATTTGACACGAGAGCTGCGTTGGCAATCAGCGTGGACTTAGATCCAAACGTAATGAACACGAATGTTGTGTGAGCACTCGGCAAGGATCTCTTGCCAAGTGCTCACACACGCGCAAACTAGCGCTGCCCTGCGCGCTAGTTTGCGCGCAGGACAGCGCAAACTAGCGCACCCGCGTTATGGTGATCACGTGGACGCCGTTCAGCCAACACCGGGAGGAGAAACTCATGACGTCATCGTTCAATTTTGCTCCGAGAAGTAAAAAGAAACAAAATGTGAGAATGACGTAGACATGCCTTTGTCGTAGTGGCTCAACGTTGGCCGCTCCAACTCCGTCACGTTGAATGCGCTGACGATTGCACCTCACGTCGCACGCTAGAGTTGGCAAATTTCGGCGACTTGGCTCACTTGAAGGTTTGCTGGCCAGTTTATTAAGGCCACGGTCCCACTGAATGTGGCAGTTTAGGTACTTTTTGGCAGGCCATTACTGATCTCCTTTTAAATACTGTTTTGTGGGATTGATGTCATTCGAAAGGCAATGCAATCCTCTTTCATTTGATATTATATATGTGTTGGTTTTTACCGTTCATGCGCGTTTGCAGCGTTGCTAATATTATGGCGCGGACCCTCACTTGCTCCGCTAGTTCATGTTTTATGAACGATTCATTAAAGATAGCACGGTTCCAATATAGCAGTTTTGTTAAGATGATGTCGGAGCAGAATGTGACGATACACTTTTTTGGTATTTGCACTACTTTGTTTTTTTCATCCCTCCAAATATTGCCCTAAAATTGACATTTTTCAGCACAGATACGTTTTTAATGACAAGCGCCAGGGCAATGAAATTAGCAACAGATGTAGTGCTTATAATTGGTAATATGCAGAAAAAAAATTGATGTTGTGTAAAATTTGTTTGTTTAGATATTTTATATCAAACATAGCACTTTTTTGTGCTTCGAGTCATGGTACTTCAAATGCCGCTGAGGAAATAATTAAACTATGATAAAACCTTTTATAACATTTAGAGCTGCAATGGTTGCGCAAGAGGTGGACGATGGCTTTTTTTCATTTTCAAAGTCATAACGCTCCAGGAGCCCTTCAAACTTACCTGTTTTTGACGCGTATCTTTTTTGGACATCAAACAGATTTATTGGCATCTAATTGCATTTATTGCTTGGAATAGATATACATTGCGATGTATTAAGTTTTCACAATGATCTTGCTTTGGTTTCTTAATAGGTGTAGAGCTTAGCTAATTTTAAAAACAATTAAAAACTGTTTGGGTGTTTTGTTGCGCTACCTGGCGGATGGCAGACAAACTGCTGATTTTTAGTGTTCAAAAAATTTCCGAGGGCGGCGTTGGCGTCTGTATCATCATCAATCTCCGTGTCTTTTTACCTTCACATTTAAAAAATATATTGGAAGATTTACTATCGATAAATGAATGGTTAAAGTACTGGGTCATGTTAATAAATCTAAGACAAATAATTACACACGCGTAGCGTGATATAATGTGTTCATTATTCGATAAACAATAAACAATAAAGACGAAGATCAATAAACAATAAAGACGAAGAGGAAAATAATATACCCGAGTTCACTTCATGCCTAGAGTCACTAAATGAGCTTCAAAGTATCGGCACTCCGTTCCCCAAAATGGACCTTTTCCGAGAAGCGTTCTGCGCACGCGCGAGCGCCCGATGCCAAGCGGCGGAAGTCGGAACGAAAAATCGAGGAAAATCAGAAGGAGGCTGTATATCAGCAAGTAGAACACGTAACTGCAGCATATACATAATTGCGTTACACAAAAAAAGAGCGTCGACGAAAAGGAAAACACGACATTTGGGTGGACGCCATAGATGCCCCTCTTTAAAGTCGCGTTGGGCAGGCGCCGCTGCTGAGAGAGCGAAGAAACTGGTAGCGTATACCTCCCATTATCGATTGGTAGCGCAGGTAGGTCACTTCCTCGATTTTTAGTTCGTGCAGTCACCGCCTGGTGCCGTTGGTATGTGGAAAAGGTCCATTGTTTTGGGCGCCGCCATTTCGGGTCTTGTTCAGAGCAAACGCAACTGCCGATCGTCATGATCCAAAAGTATGACTTTCTCAGCATTAGATGCGGTGCTAGGAAGCTGATGCAATATTGCAATGCTCTGTCGCGGGTTGTTTAAGCATTTGTGGGGGACGGAAAAGCGTTTCTTTTGATTTTAGATAAAGCTTCAGGTAACTGGCAACCATGATTTTAAGCCACAATATGGCCAAGTGTTGTTACTCTGAACCGTAGCTAATTTACAGGCACAAGCGGGAACAATGAGGAAGAGGCAGGTGTCAAAAGGTATTGGCTTGTGGAATCCACGGGGCTTACGTCATGGACCCTCCAGGTATTACAAGCCTCTTGAACAAGAGCATGAAGTGTCATTAAATAAGCTACGCGTCAGAGTAGCGACACTTGGCCATATTGTGGCTTAAAATCATGGTTGCCAGTTATTTGAAGCTTTATCTGAAATCACAAGAAACGCTTTTCCGTCCTCCACTTTAAACAGTGTGCGACAAAGCAAAGCAGCATTACATGAGCTTCCCAACACCGAATCTAATGCTGAGGATGTCGCACTTTTGAATCATGACGATCGGCAGTGGCGCCTGCTCTGCACAAGCACCAGAATGGCGGCGTTCACAACACTGCCGGGGAAGAGAGTGCCGATACTCTAAGCAAAGCTAATTTATTTGCTCTAATTCCCGCGAAACTCCTTTTTCCTGACTGAAACTGAAAGTAAGTATGAATATACAGCACTATTATAGCTTATTTAGTTATAACCAACTACACATAATGAGAGGAGGAAGCGGCCGGGTACGAGGAACGGGGGTTTTATGTGCGACCGTTCTCCGTCTCAAAAGAGAGAACGCGCGAGCTTGCGCTGGTTTAAAAAAGGCATCCAAAGAAAAGAGGCGGCACGCTGTGCTCTTTGTTATTATGCGTCTAATTGCAGATTGTTGTGTGTATGTTTATACAGCCGGAAATTAGTCCGCCTTAGTGGGCGTCTGACTCTCAGCTGTAAATGAGCAATTTAGCCAGTGCGGTTCAACCGCAAACCTGGGGTCTTTAACGTGCACCACGCAGTAGTGATACACGACCTCACGCCGGTTCGACGCTCTTCCAGATCAAAACGGGCAGGGGCGGGGTGGCTTCTGCAGCGCGAGCTTTCGCTCCAAGTGGTCCGAGCTGGTGTGCGCTAGACCATGCACTCGGCCACCGACCCCCCCCCCCCCCCCCCCCGCGTCTAATTTATATACAGGTATAAGTATTTGAAGATCGACGATGGACGTCGATCGTCTCGAGGTAATGTAACGTAATAACATTATATAAAGATAAACTTGTTGAAGGACTGAACGACTCAATTTTTCAATTCTTGGATTGTTATATGGCGATAGCCTATTGTACCGAGTGAAACAAGGAGACGGTAGGCTCTTTAAATCGACCGGAAAATTCGGTTTCTTAACCTATCGCGCTACGACTTTGTGCAGCGTTGCCCACAGATGGTGCATTTTTTTTGTAAAATCTGCAAAGAGCGAACTTACCTGAGGAAAAAGTAAAGAAAGAAAAGGCTTAGCTCCTATGGAAACGCAGCGACGCCACCGGTCTGCAATCAACACTGCGCCGTTTCGCACGGTACACAAGAGATGGCGCGACGAACGCCGCCAACGACCGAGCAACGACCGAGCCGAGAGCCAGCGTCTTTAGCAGACAATCTTTTCGACTCAAAAGCGGAACGCGTTCCGCGGGCGGCCAGAGTCGCAGAAACAAAAACAGGCGCGGTAACAACAAGGTACTGCAGTTCCTTGTCTGCTAAATACGCCGACTCTTGGCGTCGTCTGCTCGTTCGTTGGCGGCAGTTGGCGTCGCGACCGCTTGCGCCATCTCTTGCCTCCCGTGCGAAACGGCGCCGTGTTGATTGCAGACCGGTGGCGTCGCTGCGTTTCCATAGGAGCTAAGCCTTTTTCTTTCTTTACTTTTTCCTCAGGTAAGTTCGCTCTTTGCAAATTTTACGAAAAAAATGCACCATCTGTCGGCAACGCTGCACAAAGTCGTAGCGCGATAGGTTAAGAAACCGAATTTTCCGGTCGATTTGAAGAGCCTACCGTCTCCTTGTTTCACCCGGTACTTACTGTTGATGAAGAGCAATATGAGGTGACGAGGTAATGATTAAATGATGAGGCTCTATAAGGACGACGACATTAGTGGGTGTCGAACCACAACGTACAGTCCCAGACTTGTTTCAAGTATCGTGTACCCAAAGACTTTCTTCACCCGCAACAGAAAATGGTAGAATCAATGAGGATGCTGCTTTACAACTGTACGTGGAACAGGAAAACTGCACTGTGCAGAAGTGCGGCTTATTCGTTAATAGGAGGGACGGATTTCTAGCAGCATTCCCTGATTGCAACTACTTGGAACAAATGGCCTCGTTGACGTAAGGTGTCCCCGTTCCAAAAGATTCTTGAAGCATACTTAAACCGCAAAGGAGTACGAGGCGAAAAATAAGAAAAAGGAGCCTGGTGTGAAAGGTCCAAATCACCACCATAGCTTCTACTATCAAATACAAGGGCAGTTACACAATACACAAAGAGAGTTTTGTGATTTAGTTATATTTACACTGAAGGGCATTGATATCCAACGTATTCAGAGAGATGGCTCCTTCTGGTCAACCAACATAGAGACTTTTCTACTCAAGTTTTACATGAAAGGCCCGACTTGGGCTGAAATTCCTTACGTAGACGAGT